CTCATAAGTTCTAGATGTCCTGCCAAGAAAAGTCCATTTAACCTGATTTTTGCAGCCTGTATATATTTTTATACAGGCAGATCTTTGATATGTAAACAAATGCATAAATATGCTGTGATTAGTTTTAACTGGCTCATGTAAAGAAGTTATATTTATTTTTACCTACTCCTTTTTATTTTGTATTTTTTGATGGTTTATTACATTTATTGTATGTATGTTTTGTTGTTTCTTGTTAGCAGCCATGTGTACCATATGGTGAGATAGGCAGAGGGTATCCTTCTTTATAAACAAATTTTTTAAAGGGACAACTGTGTTATTCTATGAGAGCAAAACAACAAAAAGACATGTGGCATCTTTAGAATGAACAGATTTATTATAGCATGAGCATTTGTGGATTGTAGCCCACTTCCTCAGATTTGCAGACTATAATTATTCATGATTATACTCCATGTATCCAAGAAAGTGGGCATCAGTCTACAAAGTGTATGCTATATTAAGGCTGTTAGTCTTAAAGGTGCCATGTGACTTTTTGTTGTTGAATAAACAAACAAAAATTCTTCAAGAAAAAGGTTCTTTAAACCAGAGAGAGGCACAACGCATTTCTATGATTCATATTTTTGAATAAAGATTTCTTGCAGAAGTGAAACAACTGATATGAAATAATATAAGATACAAAAGGAAAAAAAATCTAGTGTCAGAAGTGAGTACAGTGACCCAAACAAGTTTCAGTAACAAGCAGCAGCTCTCTTGCCTTGAACTAGAGATCAGACGGAAAGAATGCTGCATGTCATTCAGGCGCACCATGTGCTCTGTTATTCAGTTGTGACACAGAGACAAATCCAACACAGTGAACCTCTGGGAAAATATTAAGACTGTGCCTTCTGGAGACACTGTAAATGCTTTGTCAAGAATATATATGTATCCAATTCTGAGCATTAGAAATATTCAAGATAGAAAAGTAATACTTCTAAAATTATTTTATCCGGTGTGAAAACTTATATTGGTCAGAACTTTGATTTGAAGCTGATCTTTTCTGCCTTCTCTATGGCATCCACAATTCTCACAGGTCTAGAGAACCAGTGCAACAAAACCTTAGTATTACATTAAGTAGAGCCTGGAAAATTGTAAACTTTTTGGATATCAACTTCCAGAAATATCTATGCTGGTTGGAAGATTCTAGGACTCCAAAACTGGTTCTAAACCTGTTCCCCCGCCCCAAAGTCTCACATCAATGTAAGTCTTCTTTCTATTTACCTAAGTTATTCCTTCTCTCCCACAGAATTCTAGGAATTATATTTTGTGAAAAGAGCTAGAAAACTGCTCACATTCAACTCTTTATTTCTTTTGGGGAAGGCATCACAGTTAGAATAATTTTCTGTTACAGAAGTACTCTTTCTTTCTTTGTTTTAATTCTTTTTTTGCAACTTATAAGTGCCACAATTAAGGAAAACTGGTATCACTGAGAAATCCACATTTGAATGTTGCAAATATAGGAGCTATTCATTTGTCCTTAAGGACTAGAATTTGACATTCAAATACTTGGCAAACTATTTCAAGGCAATATTAGAACACTTATGCTTTTTCACATTACTGTGTGCACCCACTTCCTCAGACTATTGTCATCTGCCTTATCTTTTTCAAACAAATTCTACTCACAGAATTTCTCTTTTAAACCATTCAAACACCGATCTCTCTTGGCAACACATACAGAGAAACAAGAAAAGGTCAAGTAATCTTTTTGCTATTCTTGGCCTGCTGCCTTCTTGTGTTCCGGCTTTCACCTTTCTTAGCCCCTACTTTATCTTTTTATTTCCCAAGGACTGCTACCTGCTTTGCCCTTCACAAACATAAGATCTGTTCTATCAAAGGCAATGAATATCTCATTCTTCATGCTGCACCCCCTTTGTGGCATTAGGGCATTTCAGCGTAATCACTAACCCCATAACTGCCTGACAGCACTGACTTAAAACAAACAAACAAACAAAAGGTGTTGAGGCACCTACCAGAGGTCAACTCAAGTGAGGGGTACAGAGCAATGTCAAGTTGCTGGTTGTAAATAGCCATGTGTTCTGCAAAGTCTGCTCTGTCCCACTAGGCCTGTCATTCTCAACAGTTTTTCCCCCCATGGCTATAAACACAATCGTGATGTTTATCCCATGGCCCTTGTTTGTTTCAACAAACACAGAGCTCAGGCGAGTATCCTAACAGGTCCTTCACCTCGCTGCCACCAGTTGATCTCTTTATTTATTTATTTATTGGACTTATATACCGCCCCATAGCGCTACAAGCACTCTCCGGGAGGTTTACAATTTTTTAATTATACAGGCTACACATTGCCCCCCCCCCCCAGCAAGCTGGGTACTCATTTTACCGACCTCGGAAGGATGGAAAGCTGAGTCAACCTTGAGCCGGCTACCTGGGACTTGAACCCCAGGTCGTGAGCACAGGTTTACCTGCGGTACAGCGTTTTAACCACTGCACCATGAGGCCTATACCAACTATGTGTTCTATGAAAGACTGAGGTCCATTCAGTACTTAACTTTGAAATAAAAACAGTTTTATTGATTACAAGTTGTTTCCAGAATAATTCTTAAACACATTCTTAAAGTTACATAAAGCGTTCAGTATTTTTCTTTAACTCCTATCTTAACAAATGCCAATAACCCTCTCACTATTCACTTTAAAGTTATCTCTCTGCCTCAAAACCCAAACCTTCTCTTCAAATCTCTCTCTTTTCTCTCTCTTCCTTATCTGCCTCCTATCTGCTACCCCCTTCTATATAGCTTCTATATAGCTGGCTCCGCCTCCCAACAACTCCCACTGATGCCGGATAATACCATTACATATATTGGAAGGCAGGGTGTCTGCTACAACAATATGAAAGAAATACAGATCCAAGCAGGATTGTATAAGTCACATAATAAACCTTATATGGCTTACCTCATGTTCTGCTTCAGTCTGAGAACTGCTTTGCTTATAAATTTTCAGATTATGCTTTTGTTAGTTGTGTAACAATTTACTGCTTTTACTGCTTAATGCTTTGTTGTAGTTTATTTTAACTGCTTATAAAATGGCCAGAAAAGTGCTTTAGCACTAATGGGATGGTATACAAATTAAAGTAATAAATAAATTATAAGGTGTGTGAAGAAACAATATATAACTCTTTCATGCACACTGCCGGCTGTGACATGTGAACGGTTCATACCCTAGCCAATTCCTGTTGTCCATGTTATTACTCAACACAGTGAATGAAATTTCACAGTATAGCAGCCCAAAACTAATTGCCATGTTGCCGTCTACAGTGCTAGCACTGCATATAATACCATTTAATTTCTGACAACCAACTACATAATATGTAAGTGGAAAAGGCATGTATATTAAGGCTCTGACTCTTCATCTGGGAGAAAACCACAATGGCTGAAATCCTGTTGCTCTAACTTATGCTGCATAAAACTGATCACATCACCAGCCACAGTGATTTTTTCATCCCACTGGTGGTGGTTTTCTGAAATTAACTCTCCTCCCATAGCCCCCAATGGCTCCTCCATGATGAAAGGGAACCCCCATGGAAACCTTGGAATCTTCTTGGGCAAGAGACTGGACCATCAGTCCATCATTTAGGTGGCATGGCATTTTGGAGCATGTATTAAGTCAAACATCAATCTGGAAGGGGGGGCATGGAAACACTGTGAAAATTTAATAGAAGTCACAGACTTCCACTGGGTGATTGAGCCACAGTGAGCTAGGTATCTCCTCACTCTCCCACTCCTGTTTCAGGACTGTGGGGAGACTGTAAGCTTCTGCTTCTGATCCCAGTGGGATCCCAGCTCCAAACGTACACAGCTTATCCATATTTGTTCCTATTAGATAGACTTCAAACAAACCACAGTCCCCAGAGTTCTGATACCACGGGAGGCTGTGGTACAAGTGCTTCCTCGTACACAGCAAAAAAGGAAGTGAAAGTGGAGGAGTAGATGTGTGAGCCCAAGAATTGATGCAGCTCACTCCAAAACAGGGAAACAGGGAAGCAACCATGGTTTACTATTAATCTGAGCTTATAGATTCATTCAACTGCAGGCCATGCCCTCTATCTGAGACCAAAAAGAGAGAGCCTTTACCTGTAATGAGCAGCTGCAGGAGAGAAGTGAAATATTATTCCTTTAATTGAAACCAATATCCTTTATAGTCAGAAAAACAGAACTTTTTAATGAAATTTAAATCTGTATGCCACTAAAATCAATCACATTACTTTGAGAAAATAAGGCACTGTAATTTTTCTGCTGGTTCAAGGCAACATATTCTAGACATATTACTAGATGCTGGTAAAAAAAATAAATTTAGCCCTGAGAACCCAGTGTTCTGAACATGCTTGAGCACTGAGCCGCACCAAAACCTCCCTATTTCCTCTTCATCATTGTTCTCTTCACACAACGGACCAACTGATGAAGACTAGCTGCTTTAGTGAGAACCACGGGAAACTGTTCTTGTTCACATCTCCATTCATCTTTACACAGGCTGGATCTTTCCCTCTTCAGACTTATGAGTATCATGTAAAGACAATGACAATGGAAGTGACTGAGAGCGGTCACTCCCATCAAATTGTGCTGAGAACACCAGGCTAGCACCTGAAAATAGTGCATGTTTTTCAAGCTTATAATTAGATCCTACAACATCACAAAAGTGGTGAGGACTTTTGTTCTTTCAGTAAAAGAATGTATGGTTCAAAGAAGACAGAGCTCAGCTTTAGCAGTTACAGGCAAAGAAAGTAGTCATTCCACAAGCAATGCAAAAATAAGTAAATAAAATAAAAACAATCAAAAGCTGCACAATTAATCTTTGGCATGTAGCGTAGTTTTGTAGCATGTAAAGAGTAAGAAGCAGAAGCAGAAGATTTGCTGGACCAAAATATAATGAAATAAATAAAATCAGCGGGAAGGCCTGGAACTTAATCATGCAAAGAGGAGGAAGTTTGCAGGGTCATGAGCCAATCAGAATCTTACCAGGGCTTCATTATCTTCTGCAATTTCTGATATCGTCTGCAAAAATTTAAAAACTTTCAGGTAAGGAAAACATTTTAAGACATTTCCTTTTTCAGTCTCTGTATCAGTTTTACATCTTATGAACATAGCAAGAGAAACTACAGTTTGCAACAGTTATTATCATTTCAATAAATGGAGTTTTTCCAAGATCTTTAGTTATGAATTTAAAATAATTGCCAACAACTATTAATTTGCTTCCTGAAATTCAAATCAGTGATTTTGCAAACATGTCATCTTACCCACAAACTCTTAAGACCTAATTTTTAGGCTTAACCCTTTGTTTAAGCTGTTATAATGGACATAAAACCTGCTTACACAACTAGACACCACCACATCAAAACTACACCTGTAATTTTATATCCTTGTAAGGGATCAAAAGTTATAGTTTCAGCACTTCCTCCATAAAAATCATGACTCAATAATGCATTTTTAAAATAAAAAATGAAGTTGCATATTCACAGGTTTACTGCACCATTGGTATGTTCTTATGTCACTATAACAAGACTAAAAATATTAAGTTCCTTAAAATTCAGCTACAACATCAAGGAATCACTTTTAATGGCAATCTAACTTTGTGTGTTCCAGCACAGATAAAGTTAATGATACGGCATAATAACATTCCATCTTACCAAGATGCTTAATACCAGCAAAACACAACTGGCCGCTGTCCTTCAAGATGGACCACAGAGACACAGGAATGCTCTGGATGTTTTTCCAGATAGCTACCATCTGAATTAATTGAATTCCCTTTCTATTTTTTGAAACATGGTTTTGAAAAGGATTTTTCAGATGTCAGCTCAGAACCATTATACAAATGTCTTCTCAGCCCATAAATGTTGTATTACTGCATGTTCCTGTTGTTGTTTTGGATCTTCAATTACTAGGGGTGGGGGAAGATCCTTTTGTAAAAGTTCTTCATCCTCAAGCCATAGCCTTTATTTTAGAAAACAATGCTCTTTTCAAATTGGCTTAAATGTAATATACAACTTGTACAGTGAAATCAGTTTAATCCTATTTCAAGCTAAAATATATGATTTTACATTTTACAGAAGCCCCTGCATCTTAGGATCAGCAGAGTATTGAGGCTATAAGCATCTCTGTTCACTCAAGTGGGTCTATCCAAATATGTATTTTCAATATTTTATTTTTCTAGTTCAAGACAGCTGGAGGCAAATGCAATCAATACTATAGTCTGAGTGATCTTCCTCAACCAGGACCTTCCTGAGCATGACATCTAGAGAAACAAACTGAATTCAAACTGATCCTGCTTGTCAGCGAAGTTAGTGTGAGGTTAACCAGACTGACTGGGCATGACTTTGTTATACATAATATTATTTCCATAGGTTGAAGTCACAATATTTGCTTTTGGAGATTATAAGTGAGGGTGCACACACTGAAATTAGTGGGCCGGAAGCATCTCCATAATTCATAGTGGTTTTGTGCTAAAACTGAGAGCCTTTTCAAAGTCCTCATAACTAAAAAAAATTCAAAGAACTACCGTATTTTTCGCTCTATAAGACGCACCTTTCCATAAGATGCACCGATTTTTTTAGGAGAAGAAAACAGGAAAATATAATCTGTTTTCTTCGCTCCATAAGATGCACAGACTTTCCACCCCCCTGTTTTGTGGGGAAAAAGTGAGTCTTATGGTGCAAAAAATACAGTAACTATAGACTTTTGCTGCTGTTAATTTTAATGGAAAACGAACATTTGAAAGGGAAGGGCAATATAATATTAAAGAAGAAAAGTGAAAGGACACTTGATTAGACATTTGCCTACCACAGAATGCTCACTGTTTGGCCTTGAAGGAACCCTGGAATACTTTGCTGGCTGTCTACCAAAAGTACAGAAGCTCCTTTTTAAAATTCCCCAAGCCACAAAGGCTTAATACTTGCTGAATGTGCACTCTAATATCTGCAAAGAGCCACTTCCAGCTGAGACAAATTTTACCCAGCTCTGACGAGACCAAATCTTTTGTGGCATCTTTGGCAACATCTCAGGTTATAGATCAAGAAGAGTCCTTGCTTTCAAAACCAGTTAGGATGACTTACGGGGAAACAGAGAGTGATTGTGTGGGGCTCCGGGGCTCTGCATCTTTCTGTAAGAACCTAAATCTTGCTTCAAGTTCTTGCTCTGAACTCTGTATGCAGATTAAATCTGCCCCAAATACAGGAAAATGTGATAATATACTTTGATTACAAGTTCCAGACTACCCTGCAACTCAGTAAATTTTGTAAAGAATTGAGCTGGCATAGATCCAAAAGGGTGTGGCACTGGTAAGGGAGGGAGAGAAGAACACTTACATTAAGAGCAGAAACCAGATTTGTATAGAGAACACATAGAACACACACTTGTTATTAAGCCTTATGCCCACTATGACATTGTCATTTTTGGATGAAAACACAGGTTTGCAGATTGGGTGTACTCTTGGATTCAACCCTGCACCTAGATGTTCACATCTCTACAGTGGCCATGACTGCATTTGCACAGTTAAAGCTAGTGCTTAATCCTGGAGATGTCTGAACTCACCACAGTGACATGTGACTTAGTGAACATACTGCTTGGATTACGGTAACCTGTTCTAAGAGACAAAAACACCACAACCAGATTTTTAACTGGAGCTGGTTACAGGGATCATAAAACTCTCTTGTTACAACAGCTCAACTGACTGTCCATCCCTGGCACAATTATAATAAAAAAGTTTTAAAAAAAAAGCTTAGTGGTTTAGGCATCTGGCTGAGGAGCCAAAGGTTGGGAATTTGATTCCCCACTCTGAAGTTCTATTATTATTATTATTATTATTATTATTATTATTAAGCCATGTTCTGGAAAAAGAAATTATTCAGCTAGAATGTGCTTGTAAACAGGATTTCAATGTCACATAGATGTCCAAACTGAAGATGAACAAGCACCCATCCTGCTACTATGGGTACTATGACCATCAGGAACTAGAGAGAGGGGATTTCAGAACTGCCAGAGAACAGGTTACTCCAGTAACCAGTATACACCCTGACACACAGAAGAACAATATTCCAGAGTACACAAGAAGGTTGTATCACACCCCCAATGTATGACTGAACTTGCCACAAGCTCTGTTTGTTTAGTTATTTGTGCCTCTCACTTAAGACATATCTTGATTGGATAACTGGAGCATTAAGCAAGGAACAAGAGGTCTAAAACTCTGTCTAACCATGTGTGGAGTAATGATCCATTTGCTGTCTGCATGTTCAGATCTATGCTTCACTTTTTCTAAGAGTACAGTACTCTTTATACTACACCTTTAGCACCTTGTGTGCATTTCCATTTTTACTTCCTAACCCCTGGAAGAGAAAATTAGAAAATTTGTTTTAAATACAGCAATGGTGCAACATGTACATATTCTGAATTCTAAATATAGTTTATCTTTAAATATGTATATGCAGTATACGTACTTTGAACTGTAGGCCTCAAGCAACTGATTTTTCAAGATGGATCATAAGGCATGACTGAGTATTGGCAAAGACTGTAGTTGCAATAGTAATGAAAGCATTGCTATTCTCTTTCCCCCTCCTTTACTGAAGGAAGAATAATGTCTAGGGCATCAGGGAGTAGTAAGATATAAAATTCCCTGCAAGTTGGAAGATCTCCCATGTTCCAAAAAAGTCAAAAGCAAAGTACATGGACACATTATTTCCTTGGGTCAAGCACTGAAGGAAACTTGTGTACAGTACTGGAATGTGCCACAACTTGTTCTGGAGTTCTATGGAAGAGTGTAGGCTCCTTCTACAAAGAGAACAGATTCCTTTTTAATCTCTGCCAGTGGATATCGATGACACCAAATCTGATAAATATTTGGGACAGCTTTTATTTCATAAAAAAGAAGTAGTATAGCGCTAAAAGACAAATTATGTTTCTTCCATTAATACTGACAATTAAAAGTGACTAAAACTGACAGTGCTCAGTTGAAACTGATTGAGCATTGATTTTCCACAACATTAATGTACCATGTATTTGGATTTTTTGGCTATGACATGCTATTGTTATATTTCTATACCATGTACAGTATCTCTAAATTTGACAGAAAAGGCAATATTTAACTAAAAGACTTTCTTTCCAAGAACAGATGGTTTGTTCACTTTACAAAGATGGTGGACTTTAACAATGTGTATATTTATATATACTGGAGCATGGAACACAGCCAGTCTTTCAGCATTTATATCTCCCTGATGGTAAATGCAATATCCATATAATGTTCACTCCTGACAACTGACAGTTTTAAGTCCAGAGTGAGTGATGGCATAGCACATTTGTATCTTGTGCATGCATAGCAAAAACTGCTACTTACAAAAACTGCGCTTTGCATTGATTGTATATGTTGCATTGAAAGACAACATATTCATTAATGGATCCTATATAACAGAAACGTGATGTTGCAATAAAACTCCAGCGGGTACAATAACAGACTCTGGAGAAGAACATTTTTTCCTGGAAGTATAAAAATCTCTTGAGATGTTCAATGGCTGCACTGGACATACAACATGTGCCTGCTCTATGAACACCTTCATGCAAAAGGAGCATATCGATTGTACATCTAAAGAGAGATGGGGGGAACCTAAAGAGAGCCACAGATTCACATTATATGTCAGAACCTCTCTCTATGCTTTTAAAGGGATTGTAATGCAGACTTGTCACCATAACATTTACCTTTTTAAGAAAACCAAAAGGTAACAGCTATGACTCTCCACAACGTAAAGCATTCCTTCCTTGCTTCACAAATCAGGGGTCAGAACCATTTACTGGTTAATTAATAATAATTATATGTGATTAAGTTGATTTCAACTTATAGCAACCTTTCCCAGATTTTTCTAGGTAGAGAATATTCAGAGGCATTCTTTCTTCTGGGGGCACCCTGTGCAGCTTGTCCAAAGCTACACAGACTAGATTTTCTTCTAGGAGGCACTGTGAAGAGCTGACCTCTCACACTCTGGCTTTGTAATCAGATATGCAACTCACAGAGCTACTGTGTTTCCCCAAAAACAAGGCAGGGTCTTATATTAATTTTTGCTCCAAAAAAAGCATTAGGGCTTATTTTCAGAGGATGTTCTATTTTCTTATGTACAACAACCTCACATTTATTCAAATATAGTCATGTCATTTTCTTCTGGTTGCTGCACAAGGGTGGAGGGCAGGCTTCGACTTAACTAGGGCATATTTTTGAGGTAGGTCTTATATTACGAGGATCCTGAAAAATCATACTTATTTTCAGGTTAGGTCTTATTTTCGGGCAAACAACAGTACCTAGGCAGCACCTGGTTAATGGAATGTGACCTGAAGAGAAACCAGAGTTTCTCTTCAGGTTTCCTGATTAATTAGGCCCATCCTTTTTAACTAGCACATTCCCTTTAATTACCATAACATAGCCCAAAGGTCTTCTGGTCTAAGTGCAATGTGAAATAGGTCAGTCAGCCATCCTGACAAAGTCTGTGCAGGCGGAGAGGTCACCCTGCCACCTCATTTACTGGGGAAGGGGGGGCGGGTTTGGTGACTTTATAGCCCCCTCCAATTCTACCATGCTATGATCCTTTGAGTCATTGATTATTCCAAGGCTGTTGTACACATCCTACACAAATTGCGATTATCTTTCAGTGCATACCATAAGTTAGGAAATACTATATCAATGGCTCTATTTTCTGCCTTCCAACACTATATTCCTTAATAAATGCTTTTATTTCCATGTGAAGCTGAAGTTTTTCTGACAAAATGGGAGCTCTTCCCATCTGCTGAAATCCACTTGAATAACATTACCACAAAGACACAAATAGAGAGGGGACAAGTGGACATTTCATCAGCTGAAGTCTGGGAGCATATGTCAAGGTTTGAAATTTTGTATGTATAGCGAGTTTAATTAGGGGGCTTGAAAGAATCAGTCCTGGAAAATGAAAGTGCTTTTCAAAACTAAGGACTGAATAATAGTTTACTGTAGTTGTTCCAAACCAATTAGCAAGTTCTCATACAGAGCAAGGTCAGTGAACAGTAAGAATCTTGACAGCTGAAGTCTTTATGTTATAATGTACTTGTTTATGTTACAACATAGAGGGGGCATTTGTAAGTCCTCTAGTGCACCCTTTCAGTGATTATAATTTTTATGACTTCACAATAGTCTGGTATTTCAGAATTTTAGGGTGAGAATATCCTAGTGATCAGATCCTTAATGGTACAGAGCACTGTTACCCTAAGCTCTGCAAAAATTATAGTCATAACAATAATGTTATCAGCACAGTGGTTGCTTTCCAGATATTAAGCTACAGACATCTGAAAATACAAAGGTTGAAGACATATAGTGGTGCCTTGACTTACAAACGCTCTGACCTACAATTTGACTTACGAACAGCTCCGGCTGCAAAATTTTACTATGGACAGAGCACTGTTACCCTAAGCTCTGCAAAAATTATAGTCATAACAATAATGTTATCAGCACAGTGGTTGCTTTCCAGATATTAAGCTACAGACATCTGAAAATACAAAGGTTGAAGACATATAGTGGTGCCTTGACTTACAAACGCTCTGACCTACAATTTGACTTACGAACAGCTCTGGCTGCAAAATTTTACTATGACTTGTGGCCGAAGCATTGACTTATGAATAGAAAAATGCAGGGAAGAAAAAACGGGAAATTCAAACCGTTGGTGGCAGAGGCTTTGTAGCTCTTTTGCTCCAATGGTTAGAGCAGGCGGGTAGGGAACTTGTTTACTCCTGGGGTGCAGGAGGAGGAAGGAGGGGCGGGGCGGCGCAGGATAAATGCCAGCTGAATCGGCACCCAATTTTACCCTAGAAGTTTATAAAGTTCTGCAGGTCCCTTAGAGATATGTTCAGGGATCAGCTTATCTGATGTGACACATGGCTGAAAGACCCCTTTAGTTCCAAGGAATGGTGACTTACAAATCTTACATAGGGAGAAATACTCTTACTCTTAACAGGATTGAATCCAATGTCAGTCCCAACCAAAGTAGACCCACTGAAACCAATGGGACCTATATTATTCATAATTAAAAGGCTCATGCATTTCCATAGCTCTACTCTGGTTGAGTCCTCTTTGACAGAATTGAAAGTTCTGCTTCTGTTGCCCCAATTTCTCTTTGATAATCAGTCTTTCAAAAGCTATACATATGGATACTAAATGGCTACATGAATTGATTGGATTTCTTTCATGAGAGCAGTCTACCATATGCTCTTTTTTTCTGCAAGCATTTTTAACTACCCTCTTAACTCTCCAGAGGAGGCAGAAATGGATTCTTTGCTATCCAAATGTCACAAAAATGTCCCTAGAGTGTGAATAGAATTATCTCAGGGAGCTTGGAGGTCTTCGAGTGCTTTGTACTGGGATTGTACAAATATTTCATATGAGTCTTGGCAATACTTTTAATTGAACTAATGTTCCACTCCACTTCCCAGTGCTAAAAGATGTTAAGGCCCCAAAGCAACACATATATAAAACACCTGGATGTGCGCCTATCAGGTATTCTACAACCTTTTATTTACAATGGAAGTTCAGACGACACAAAAATAGGAAAACCAAGTTGTCTGGAGATTAAGTCAGTGAGTTTCTTTTGAGCTAGCTTTTTTCTTCCACAATGAAGAAAAACAAAAAACAAAAAATGGAAAAATGTTGTAATTGCTGTCTATCCATGGATCAATCCCCTCTCATAAATAAAAGGTAGCAGCAAGGACAGGATTTTCTGCTGTTTCTGAGGCACATTTTCCAATGAAGAATGGGTTGTTCAAGTGATTTTCTTGTTTTGTTTAATATTTTTAAAAAGCATTCTGCTAGCAGCAATCAATAATAGTCTCTTACTGGAATTGAAAAGTGTAGCTTACAACAGCTTTGTAAAGAAATCTATACTAGTATTACAAATTGGAGATTCAAAGTTGGCTTTCATTTGCCACCCACACATACACACACACACACACACACACACACACACACACACACACACACACACAAACAAACATGATTTGGATTGCAGCAAATACCAATGTCAATGCAGGGATCAGTCATCCTAGGTTCCACTGACTTGCTTACTGATGCTTTCCACTTCTAAATGTTTCAAAAGTTAAGAAATAGTTAAATTAAATTAAAAGAACTGGGTAGAGCTGGGACCTCTTGCCTGATGTTGGAATCTTTTGCCTTGGCCTACAATTGTCATCTGCAATTGAGGATGCTAATCATCCAGCCAGCATACACTTTTCTTTTTTCAAAATAACTAATCCAGTAAGCAGTAGACAACAGATGCAAACCCTCCTCTACTAGAATAAGTACTTCTACTTAACATACCTCACATACCAAATACTTTATTGCTTCATAGCCAATCAGGCTGTACGCATAAACAGAAATTAAACCACTCTTTAAAAATACTATTTGGCATGTATTATCGGTGCATATGAAAAAATCAGAAAAGCACAAAATAATATAATAATAGAATAAACATTCTCAAGCAACTATCAAGTTGGGAAATTAACTTGAAGAGCTTGTGAAGCAGGCAGTGAGTTCTGTCTTTCCATGGGTTGTTTAATGAATTCAGTGGTCCTATAGTTTAAAATTGTACATAAAAGGGAATTGTTCTTGATCACAGTTGTTCAGGGATACCTCACATAAAATTCCCATTCATTTCAACAAAATTAAGTGCAGGAACAATTCTGTCTCAATGTAATTTTATAATAAGCCTGAATTATCCCAGCAATGTAATTACAAAAAAAAAGTACAAATAGCAGCATTACAGGAAAATACTTACTCCGTTCCGCTTTCCACCATCTGTGTTAGGAGTGAAATGCCATCTAGATTGATAAATTCTTGGGCAAAGGTTATATCACGTGAATAACTAGCTAAGTCTTTCAGTGCTTCCAACTTGGCATCCATACTTGAAGACTGGATCCTCTCGTGGAGCTGAAGGGCATTTTGGGTCTCACCAAAGACACAGCATTAGATAAAAGATAGGGATTAGGGAAGTGGACAGAGAAAAAAAATGCAGATGTTAACTTCAGGTGTTACCAAGTAAATGAACTCTTTTAAGGAAAAACTATTGCGTGAAGTTCAAAGATTTTCAAAAGGATGATGATCACAATCATCTTAGTACTACAGAGCTGGAAGGGATCTATGGATGACTGAGTCCAGCATCTGTCAAGAAAGCACAGTGGGGAACTCAACTCCTAACATTGGGCTTTGCAGCCAGAGACCTAAACCACTGAGCTATCCAGCTGTTGATGGCAGGGAGTTAAAATAATGGAGCAATCTTTTAGAAAATTAATGACCAAGTGTTACAATAACATGTAAATAAATTAATATGCATGTATGTTTAAATCTTAGATTCAAAAAGCAAAGTGCAGTCTTAAAAACATGCATCACATTTTAAATAAATGAACACCTCAATATAATAAATCAACATAATTCTGGAAACAGCAGAGAAATTGACTTCACACAAAATAAAATAAACAACAAAAAGAGCAAGGCTTTTGCACAACTTGGTTTTCACCAGTCAACTGAAACAAATGTGCAGTAGTTTGTTGGGAACTTTTGTATTTTGCATGACAGGGCTGACTATTGAGGAATCTCTACTACTTTGGAGCCTGGAGTAATGCCTCATATGGGGAAGGGAACCTCATACAGAGAGATAGCATGCAAAAGATCTTCCCGGAGGCCACCTCCAGGTAGGAAAATGGGAGCTCTAGTCAACTATGAGATATGGGAGACAGCACTGGAAAGAAGATAACTAAAAAATGGAGGGACCTTTCTTACTCTCCCACTACATTATGGATTCCAGCTCAACAACTTAACCTTAGAATTTTTGTTGCAGAGTATACATTCATCTCATAAATCTGATGCAGACAAAGAAAAAATAAATCTTGATTTCCTAACTCTCAGAAACTCTCATTCTATATGGACTTAGAGGTCTCCCCACCCTCCACCCCCAGAGCAGCAATTATTAATACTGGTCACCTTCAAACAAAAGCCAGGATTCTAGAGAATCCTGCTAAATAGTTCAAGACCAAGCACTCTGATGCAATACAGTGGGGTCTTGACTTGAGAACTTAATCCGTATTGGAAGGCGGTTCTCAAGTCAAAAGGTTCTCAGGTCAAATCTGCATTTCCCATAGGAATGCATTGAAAACCATTTGATCCGTATCTGCTCTTTTCCATCCATAGAAACTAATGGGAAGCTGCTATTCCGCCTTCGACCACTAGAGGGGGATATTTTGTTTCTCTTTTTCTTAGGTCAAGAAAGGTTCAGGGAAGGCAGGGAAAATACAGTCCAGGCAGGACAGTACCGGTCAGTCCGAAGACTGTCTCCCAATCCATTCTCTAAACGCTGGGAGGAGTGAGGAAGCAGACAGGCACCCTTTTCACTGTTCAAATTTTGCACTTTCCCTGCCTCCCACGTGGGTTTTTTTCAGTTCTTAACTCAAATCTAAGTATGTAAGTCAAGTCAATATTTTCCTATGAGAGTGGTTCTTAAGTCAAAATGTTCTTAACTCGAGCCGTTCTTAAGTCAAGACCCCACTGTACTGTTTGTTTGTCCCTGGTTTCACTACTTCCATCAGAAGGAACACTGTCAGCTAATAGGAATACAGCAGGAAAAAAAAAGTTTTATATTACATCTCACCCCTACTCTTGGCTTGGCATTCTCAAACAAACCAAGACTGATAAGCTGACCTCGGACACCAGCTTCAAGCTCTAGATTGTGAGAAATGTGACAATAGCCCAGATTCCCTTTTTCAGACAAAGTTCTAAGTGTTTTCCTACAGTGAGTTTCTTATTATTGGAGCCATTTCTAATAATAGAAGGAGCCATATAGGAGCAAACAGAGAAACATCTTACTAGCTATGCTTCAGGACATTCCAGAATGCTATCTTATATTTTATCCCAACAAAACTATTGGTTTAAAAATCACTGTGCATAAGCAAATGCCTTTTCCTCTAAGATCACTGTCTCAGAGAACTTAAATACATAGTCTCAGAAGTCTTTAACTAAGGTCTGCATGTTATATAGTTTAAATACCATGTCACAGACATATTATTTATCATTGTAAAATAACATTCACTCTCCATATTTTTTCAATTTTTCCAGCGGAATAGAAGGCTTTGAAAAAAAAAACAGGAAAAAACTGTTGTTTCCCCATTTTTTCTGGGTTTCTTCCAGGCCTTCCCATCTCTATGTCTGAGAAAATGCTCTGTCCATCCCTTTATTGATTACTGTGACAATAATATTGTTTTACTACATTTTAAATTATTTATATGGGTATTTTTTCCAGATTCCTGTCCAAATTTCCTCAGGTATATTAATATTTAAATTTGTTTCCAACATTCTTTTAGATCCTCCCCAGCACTGATAGGTTCAAATTGACCCACTTTGTCATTTTTTCTTTTGCGAATTTAAATATATTTTTATAATTTCTGCAGATTAATTGATTAAGATTTTTTGTTCCCCATATTCCTAAGTATTTAAAACTTGAATAACATAACTCTAAATGAGATGCTTTTCTAATTTCATTTTGTTCTCTAATAGGGCTATTTAAACATAATAATTTAGATTTTTGGAAATTAATTTTTAAACCAGCATATTGACTATATTCCTCTAATATTTCTTTTAAATGTTCTATTCTTTGTAATGGGTCTGCCAAAAAAGGAGCATATCATCTGTGTATAAGTTTATTTTATGTTGTCTATTTTTTTGTGGACAGTCCTCTAATGTTTTCACTTTCTCTTATTTTGTTGCAAAAAGTTCTATTATTAATGCGAATAGGATTGGAGACAAGGGATCGCCCTGTCTAGTTCCCCTAAATAGTGAAATTTTTCAGATTCTAATCCATTAATGAGACTGGGGAGCATAAATGAGGGACTGGAAACAATAGAAGCTACTTTGGAGAAAAACATAAGACAAGGAGGAGAGAAGGTTGAGCAGGCTGAGGAAAACCAGAATATTACCCTAGAAAAATGGGAGGAGGAGGAAATACAGGAAGATGCAATAGATGATCCAGAGGAGGAAGCATACTATCTAAATGTTGAAACCCCAGGGGAAATTGAATCCCAAGGACAATAGGAGTACATTTACAATGAAGATCCCTGGACTGGGGTGATAGTACAATTAAGGGCCCCTAAAAACAAGGCTGAGAAACACAGTCCCCAATCTCTCTGTAAGCTGTCCTACTGGGGGAAAGGGAGATGAGAGAAAGAAGACATTTCACTGGAGAAGAACAGTATCAAGGACAGTCTTCACATGGAGAAGAAACCAATCAGCCAGTACCCTCAGAAGGTTGAGGGGCGAGGGACAGCAAATTTGAAGTCAAGATGGACTCATAAATCATCCCATTGTGGCACTCCATATTTGGGGCAGTCAGGACAAAACCAACCCCAATCCAAGGGGTGAGCCTGGCACCATTAAGAGAAGATGATAGAAATGGATTTGATATTGATAACTGTTCCAAACCCAGTAGCTGAACCAAGAATGGAACTGCTTTGGGTCTATTTGGTATTGAAATTGGTAAGAATGTTTCTCCAAGTACAATAAAACCTGTTTCATTATTTACTACTTTGACATTTTTAATGGAGCAAAGAATGGAAGAAGGGATCAATGGGATTCACAATGAAACTCACTGAATGACTGACCAAGACATGCATATGAACTCCATGATTGAGCAGGGACTTGGACCTTACTATTTTAACATTAGATGGCAGCTCTGCCACAGTCAATAGGCATCTTTAAGGAAGCTGCCTTTTCTTGGCCTTACACTCCAATACTGGGATTGCAACATCTATCTACTTCGCAATCTTGGTGTCAAGATTAATATGCAAAGTGCTTTTGACCATGTAGCAATTGGTAAGATGTAACTTAGGAGTTACATCTTACCAATTATAAGCACATTACCAATTGTAAACACAGTGGTGGCACTGCGGGTTAAACTGCAGAAGCCTCTGTGCTGCAAGGTCAGAAAAACAGCAGTCATAAGATCGAATCCATGTAACAGAGTGAGCTCCCATTGCTTGTCCCAGCTCCTGCCAACCTAGCAGTTCAAAAGCATGTAAAAATACGAGTAGATAAATAAGCACCATCACGGTGGGAAGGTAATGGCATTCCATGTCTAGTTGTGCTGGCCACATGGCCACGGAAACTGTCTATGGACAAATGCTGGCTCTACCGCTTGGAGACAGGGATGAGCACCGCGCCCTAGAATCAGATACGACTGGACTAAATGTCAAGGGGAACCTTTACCTTTACCTTTTAACTTAGGAGTGGGCAGGTCTCCAAATGCTGAACTGCAATGCCAGTCAGCTCTAACAAATGCAACCAATGGTGAAGAATGCTTCGCGTTGCAGTCCAACAACCCCTGGAATGCTGAACTCTGTCCAGCCCAGCATACCTTATATTTATGATTATATCTCAAAATCTAGTATCATACTATTATTATTCTAGAATATTCCTGAAGTGTCTGTGTGCACATACACACCCACAAATTTCAAAATGGTGAAGTGGCAGCTGTTTCCAATAGTGCTTTCATTTGGCTTTGTTAAATACAGTGGACCCTCGACTTACAGACGGCTCGACTTACAGACTTTTCGAGTTACAGATTTCTCTGGCCGCAAAATTTAGGTTCGACTTGCAGCCTGAGAATCGACCTACAGACCAGAAAAAAACCAAAATGGAACAAAAATGGCCGGTTACGGGATTAATCGGTTTTCAATGCATTGTAGGTCAATGGAGACTCGACCTACAGACTTTTCGACCTGCAGCCACCATTCCAATACAGATTAATTCCATAAGTAGAGGGTCCACTGTACATATTAGCTGCCACCTTTTCGGGAGAAACTGAGCCTGCCCTCAGTAACACATTCACCAAGCACCTTCCCAGACCTGAATACTAACTGCATTCTACAGAGTAGGAATGCTTTTGCTGGCAGTCATTTTCAATT